AGCCTCTAAACTGTCTTCAGGGAAAGAAATATGTATTAAATTATGGATTTGGAGTGGACGGCTCCTTTCAAGTTGCCGTGCCGTCTGCAGTCTAAAAGCATTAGCTGAGAGCGCCCATGTCATCAAAGTGTTTTTATTGATCACAGGAAAGGTCTAACAGAGCCACGTTTTCTTCATGCTGCATATAACAGTGTTCCTGACCTCAACCAGGCTCAAGGTTACACAACTCCCACAGATAATACGGTCCTGCAGCTCCACGGGTTAAAGCCACAGCACCTGAATAACAATCTCAGGCCAAATGATGGATGGATTGGACGGAGAGAGAAAGATCCAGCATGTCTTTGAGGGCTTTTTGATTTTTTCATTGAGATATCCCTCAGTGGCGAGGAAGCTGCAGAGGAAAATGAGGAGCGAAAGAATGCAGAGACGCGTTCTAAAATATCATGAGACAATAATGGCTCCATGCTGCGGCCACGTGCTTATGTTCCTGTAGATGGGTCAGGATATCATAGATATCATAGTCACATTAGGGGAAAAAAAAAGGGCCCATATCATAGATATCATAGTCACATTAGGGAAAAAAAATAATAAAGATTTTTTAATAAATAAATTTATAAATTAATAAATTTTTAATAAAGAATATGGTTCTATACAGAACCATGAAAACTCAAAGAATCTTTTGTATGGTTAAGGGCTCTGCATCATGAAATGGTTCTTCAAAATGATGCGAGAATGTGTTGTACATGGTCCTACATAGAACCTTTTTGAAAATGGTTCCATATAGCACCAAAATGGTGGTACACTCTAAAAAAGATGGTTCTTCCAGGGTTCTTTTTATATAGAACCAAAAACACTTAAAGAACCTTTTGTATGGTTCAAAGGTTCTTTGCATCACGAAAGGGTTCTTCAGATTAAAAATTTGAAAATGGGTCTATATAACACCCAAAAAGGGTTCATCTACTGTTACGTCAAGCTTGTAACAATAGCAGAACACTTATGGACAATGCTATTTATGCTATTTAGAACCCTTCAAAAACGTAAGTTTGTATATAGAACCATCTACAGCATATTCTTCATCAATCTGAAGAACCTTTCATGCAAAAGGTTCTTTGAGTATTCATGGTTCTATATTGCACCATTTTCATTGCTAAAGAATTCCTGAAGAACCATCTTTAAGAGTGTACCTAGAAAAAAAACCTATTTGGTACCATACAGATGCTTTTCAACATTCTCCATTAATCTGAAGAACCGTTTCACCATGCAAAGAACCATTACACATGCAAATGGCTCTTTGGGTGTTCATGGTTCTATAGAGAATCATTTTCTTTGCTAAAGAACCCTTGAAAAAACATATTTAAGAGTGATGCTAATCGTAATTTTAATGATGCCTTATTTCCAAGAGTGTGTATATATGGTGCACATCAAAAATTCAATGCATAATATTACATTTTATCCTTGTGTTATGGATGCTTTTGACTGGCAAGTCTTAAACATACAACATTAGTAATGCTGCACTTCATATATTTTTGCATAAATTTGGCATATTGGATGATGCACAGCCTGTTAGCTGTAACAGCCTGTTTTACTCTGTAACTTTAATTCAGCACATTAATCAACTCGGTGACTGGGGGCCTTTTGACATAAGCACCAATAATGTAATTAACCGTAAGCCTGTATCAGATGTAAACAGCTCTATTACCATTCAGTCACAAATCCAGGACGTCCTGAGTGCTATTAACATTGCCTTCACTTCATCATTACATGCTCCTCATGTCACACAGTAAATATCTTATATGTTACACAAAGCGGTACAGTTTTATTTTTAACTGTCTTCCAAGAATAAGAGCACTGAGCTGTTCAAACGAGGTTAAAACGAGACCAAACTTTATTCTACTGGAGCAATTTTCTGAGGAGCAAGGCTGGCAGAGAACTAGTAATATACTTCTAAAGTGTGAAAATGTTCAGTGACTCATTTGGCTGAATAAGAGCTGACAGAAAACCTCGCTTAACCCGGTGTCAAACAAAAAGTTTTCTGCCAACTTCTTCTTGGCAAGTTTTTCCCTTTTTAGTTAATGAAGCGCGACTAATTTCTACAAGACCTTGTACCTCGATTTTAATGTTTTAATAAAAGCGCTTGATGTAGTAAGTAAACACTGTTAAAGTTTCATACCCTCTCTGTCCATACAGCCCACATACGGAAACTAAGTAGAAAAGCAGCTTGTTTTGTGTTCATTATGTGATGTTACAACCATGAATAAATTTACATAGGAAAGCCCATTCAGCCTACAGCAGCTTAGCCCCACCCACTCAGCCTACAGCAGTTTAGCCCTGCCCATTCAGCCTACAGCAGTTTAGCTCTGCCCATTAAGCCTATAGCAGTTTAGCCCACCCATTCAGTCTACAGCAATTTAGTCGCACCCATTCAAGCTATATCACTGAGCTTGACTGTCTAATAAAAGGTGAAGTTTAGAATTGTAAAATTGTTAAACATAAATGATGAAATTAATTAAAAAAAATATATAAAAATGACAATTTAAATGAAGAAATATCCAAGACCCTGCACTACTAGCAAATGTGTGAAATTGAGCAGGTCTGATTGTGGGTTTTAGTCTGATCTCTTCCAGTGAAGCTCATGTTCAGACTCAGGAGAATTTGATCTGCTGATTAGAGACTTTTACACAAACTTGTGGAGTCCATGCAGCTTGAGTGCACACTGTCATTAAAGCAGAAAAGGGACGCACCACCAAAGACCACCAAATCACCAAAGATTCATGTTAAAATTCAAGGCCTTGAATAGGAATGAATCTGCTATATATGTACTTTTTTGCTATGGTCATTATGCATTACTTGTTATATACACCTTATTCATTCTGTTTAATACCTGCGAGGCTCCTTTGCTCTCCTCTCCTTCTGACACTGCATCTGTAATTCAGCCATTTCTGATGCACCATTTAATGCTTAACTAATGCACCTTTAAAGCAGCATGCCTCCTTTTTTAACATTTCTGCATAATACTCCGTTCTAGAGAAAATTACAGAATCAGAATTGGTCACAGTGGTGGTGATAGGAACCAGACATCCACCTCTAAAAGCTCCCTCACAGAAAGTTATTTCATGAAATGTTTATGAATATGCTGCCTGATGAATGAGACATTGTTTTATGACAGTTTTGAGAAGATTTTGGCCTAAAAATCCATTCATCGTGGAAGAACACCATATGCAGGGTGTTTTGGGGCAAAATAGTCCTCAAAGAAAATTTATTATTTCCAATTTTCCACTATTTTTCCATCATCAAGATTCCATATAAAACTCAGAAGACACGTGTAGGTTCACTGGTGGTTTTGGATAGTAAATAAAATGCCTACATTTGCGTTGTAGTCATGGTGACCCCTGGTTCCTATCACCACCACTCTCACACACTCAATTATGCAGACATTTAAAAAAATCTGTGAAATTTCTATTTATGATTGATCTATGTAAATGAGATCTGTTCTGATTCGCTGAATCCTGTATTGTGCTGCATTCAAAAAACAGAAGCCAGAGTTGAAACACTCCTTATAGCTTCAGCACAAACAGGCAGAGCTTAACTGCTGTAGGTGGACGGTTTGGTTTTTGTGACATCATAAAAATGAATGAGGACTGGGAAGTGAACAGTACGTTTTAAAACTTTTGACATTGTTTACATACAACAAAGTCTTTTATGTCACAAAAGCAAGGTTATCTGCCATTTAATATATTTAAAGGTCTATTGTAAACAGAGTATCCAGCAATGCCATTGCAATACGGTATTTTATCCATATTTTCCAGGCCTAATTTGTATTATAGAGATGTAATGACCTATACTCAGGGTACAAATGTACATGCCCACCCCCCTTCTCCCCCTCTCCCCTATATCTTCTGCACCTCATTATAACGGACGCTGCTGTGCAGCAGCGTTTGGGTAATGCTCTTCATTTCAGCCTCTTTCACGGGTTGATGCATTTTCAACAGCGATGTCAGCTAGGTGAGGAGTTCCCCACAGAGAGGGTCAGAAAAAGACACGCACTGCTCTCCATAATGACAGTGCTGTAGCTCCACTGCTCTAACCCTTTGAAGCCACAACAAAACCAAATCATGCTGTAGTTTTATGCGAATCACTTCTGACTTGTAGTTCACTAAAACAAGCAAAGAAATTATATGGAAATTGCAGATTCTGAACTTTCATTACAGACCACATTAGTATTTATAAGTAGAAGAGTGGAAACAGAAGTGCAGACACTGACCTGTCCTTACAGAACACAAATAAAATGAAAACAGACTTCATTATGTAACACACAGCGTAATTAAAGGAGATTTAAAAAAAATCTTCATAAATCAATGTGTGAGATGTAAACAGAGTGATTCAGAGTGGTTTGGTGTGAAATGGTTGATTTCTTTACAGTGGTGGTAAAAGGATACCAGGGGTCGCCATGACTACAACCCAAATATACACATTTTATTTACTATCCAAAACCACCAGTGAACCTACATGTGTCTTCTGAGTTTTATATGGAATGATGATCGGATCATAGTAAAAAATCTGAAAAAATAAGGGACTATTTTGCCTCACACGTATCCCTCCACCATGAATGGATTTAAAAAAAATACATGTTTTAGAACATAAATCTTCTCAAAACTATAAAACAATGTCTCAGACATCAGGCAGTGAATTCATAACCACATAATGTAATAACTTCCTGTGAGGGAGCTTTTAGAGGTGGATACCTGGTTCCTGTCACCACCACTGTGAACTATTCTGACTCAGTAAGTTTCTCAGAACAGAGCATTTCACACCAAACCACTCTGAATGACTCTGTTTACATCTTAACCAAATAATTATACGGAAATTTTGAAAAATATGTGGAATATCCCTTTGAATGTGCAAATGTTATTGCATTAAACAGTACGGCACAATAAGAATAACTGCTCTAGACTTCTAAGGGTTAAAACAGAGAGAGAGAGAAAGAGAGAGAGACACTTTACCTTCAACGTCATTTTGGCCAGAAGCTCCTGCAGGTCCATGATGCCCTGTACAAGGCTGAGGAAGTCACTGCATGTTGGGCAAGCTCAACAGAGGAAAGAGAGCGGTAGAAACAGAGAGAGAGAGAGAAAAAGAGAAAAAGAGAAAAGAAAGAAAGAGATGTGATTACACAACAGGGTCAATTCACTCCCACCACCGTGTACAGACATGGAAACTCATGAGATATAAAAAAGGAGACAAGTTCAGAAAACAGTCTCCTCTGGTGCATCATTCATAGAATCATTCATAAAATTTTTAGTGATTTTACCATGACAATTCTGGTGCACTTAAACACAGGACTAATTACTGTGGAATTAACTGAGTTCTACAACTACACAAATATAGGTTATGTCTATATTGTACAGTAGAGGTCTGTACTCCTGCAGGACCCGCCACAATATCTTGCAGCGTGGGTCTAATTTTCAGTATTGGTAGCGGGCAGGAAACCAGCCTGCTGCAGGCGGGAGCAGGACAGCCTAAATAAAGCAGAGTAATCACTAAATTGTATATATAAACAATATAAAATTATAATAGTATAACGGTTAAAATGAATAAAGTCTCTCTAAAGAGCTGCGAAGTAGCCAATCACATGCACAACACGCAGATTCCTACAGAGCTTAGAGAAAGCAGAGCCTTTGGTCCAACAGCCACAGTTGCCCAGCAAAACACCAAAAATAACTGCTCTGTGGTTTAGTTCCTGTTTTGTGTTTACTGGGAATAAACGCTGTTTGGTGTTACTCACAGTGAGCCTGATGACCATGACTGCCGTGTTATTTCAGCAGAGAATAATGTGTTTGTGAACAGACTGTGTCAGATATTGAATCAGTTCACCTTGACAGAACTGTGCAGGCGGGAGCAGGACAAATGATTACGATTTTCTGCAGGAGCGGGACTGAAAAAACAGTCCAGTGCAGACCTCTATTGTATGTATAGCATTGTGTATACAAATCAAGTATTTTGCAGTATCTGTAAAAAATTGTTGCTTATAATATCAGGGTAAAAAAATACAATTTCCACCAAATCTCCCTTTGAGACCCCTTATCTATTCTATAAGAGGCCATAACCATCATGTGTTCTAAGGGCTCCATAAGGTACATAGTGCTTGGACCCTGATGAGTGCCACTTGCGATTCTGAGGCCTCTTTTCCACTTCAGGGCCAAGTGGTTCTGAGCACGGAGGGGAACCATTCCAGTCACATTTCAACATGGACATAGTTTGACATGGAACACTTAAAACCTGGGCTCTGCGCAGTTTTATCGACACGGTTAGCTCCACAGTGGTCAGGGCCACAGAACCATTGATGGGAAGATGTAATGATGCATATATTCGCTGACTGGTTCTGCATTTATGTCGGTGCTGCTGCAAATTTATTTATATAGTGCTTTTTACAACAGGCATTGTCACAAAGCAGCTTTACAGAAAATCTGGTCTGAGCCCCCAAGGTTTTCAAACCCAAAAGCAAACAAATAAGTTTGGTTCAGTCACATGGACAGCAAAAACATGACAGCAGTGCACGCTTTTAAATCCACGATTCAATAAATGTCAAATCTCTTAAATCTAACACTGGTTTCCAAATGTTACAGCACTGCTAACAAGAAGAGAGTAGCTAGTTAGTATAACCTTAGCTAACATGTTGCCAGCCCTGCTCACCACAGAACAGGTTCAATTCTGACTCACAAAAGCTTTGCTGACAAATTTAGATGATAATGACTCAAATCTGAGAAAGCGAAGTCGAGTGGCTGGTGCTGGAGGCACAGAAAGCTGAAATGAAACCTGTTCTGTGGTGTTTGGAACTGTAGCCTCCTAGCTAAGCTAAAGCTAGCTGGCTCCTCTCTCTTTCGGCTAGCTTTGCTAATGAGATGCAAAGAGCCCAGTACAGTTTTGATTCAACTAACCATTGCTCTGCTATCACAAGTATAGATGATAAAAACTTATAACAGTAAGAGCAAAAATGACTGATCGGCGTTGAAGTGACAAAGCCAAAATCAAACCTGTAGTGTTTTAAGCAGTAATACTCTGCTTAAGCACCACCCAGAAAACACTGAATGCCAGTGGACCACCAGCTTTGCCATCAGCGGGCCAAAGGTGGCCCACTATCCTTTCACTATCAGGGTGATTCTTATATAAAAATAGAATTGTCCTGTGGTGCTTTGAGCTGTACCCTGCTGGGTGACGCTAATGCTAGTGTAGTTAGCCAGCTACAGGTGCCGCTCACTGCAGTACAGGCTCAGTTTCAGTATTGGATGTTTAAATATCACCCGTTTAGAGCATAAAAACCTGAGATCACACCAAAAGACTGCTGTTGGAGTGACAGATGGAATCAAACGTTTTGTATTGTGTGTGTATATGTGTGTGTGTGTATTAGGCTATTAGCGGTTAGCTACTCTTTTGTAGCTTGTAGCTTTCTTCTGTATTTCCTGGTTCTGACTTAGCAGCTCAGCAAAAAATGAAACCATAAATCAATCTCACAAGTCCACGACAGCACCGAACAACACAGTACAGCCCTGAGAACCACTCAGCTCTATAGTGGAAAAGAGGCCAGACTGTCGTTTAGCTCTCACACACACTCAGAGAAAAAAAAAGGTACTAAACCGTTACTCTCCAGGACCAGGGTTGGTGAACACTGCCTTAGACTTACTACAAGGTGAAAGTATGACTACGGTCACATAACAGTAAAGTCAAGGCACAGCTACAGTGGCCAAGAACAAACTGCAAATAAAAAACGAGCCGCAAACGCAGAAAACACTTTAATCAAAATGACAACATTGGCGCTGAATTTTACAAATGACTGCAAATACAGAAAACACATACAACTTCAGAAACACTGATAAGTCAGTCACAACACAACGGAGATGCTTCAGAAGGACACTCAGAGAGGGTGGAGACTTAAATTCTATGCAGCACAAGTATTCACTGGTAAAAGTAAGTCACCTTTGATTTGAGCAGATTACTGCTATCACTGTATTGTAATGGGAATTAGCTGTAGAGTGTAACCAGATTAAGGCCCACAGCACAGTTCAGTAATAACCAGTTCAAGTGATATTTGGGGGAAATATCAACAAATTAGCTGATCAGTTGCTTGATCAAGTTGGTCATGCTGGCAGACCATGTAAACCTCCAAATTCAAATGAAAACATACCACATGCTGGTCAAGTAGTTAAGCTGGTTGACCAGCATAGGGCATGTTTTCTTTTAGTTCAGCTGGATGTCCAGCTTGTCAGCCACCTAATGTACTCTTCCAAAATTGACAACACCTCCACAGAGGTCCATTTAGACGGCAGAGTATCTGCAGCGCTCACGGTAAACGTCATTCCACTGTATTTTACACTGATTCGTGTAGTATCTGATTTGCAGGCTGGGGAAATGAACTGATTAAGGGAACGGACTCAGTGTGGCTAAATAGAAAACATCAACAAGCAGCACCAAGTTCAGATGTATATTTCAGAAGATGAACACATTTTCAAACTGCACAACAGCCTCATTTGAATTCCAGAACAGACCTGCGTGGCTTTAGCCGCTCGTGGTGATAATTATGCTTCCGTACCGCAAACGAGTGAATTCCCATTAAAAGTCCATCACGTAAATGCAGGGCAGGGGCGAGCCACTGATAGGAGAAAAATATAGGTTTGTAATTGACATAAAATTGAATTTCACTTACTGCGATTGAGGTTGGGACACTGCATGATGTAACCATTCGGAGCGAAAACAAATTTGACATCTTGCATGGTGCCCTGCAGAGAGAGAGAGAGAAAGAAAGATAGAGAGAGAGAGAGAGAGAGAGAGAGAGAGAGAGAGACTTAAATAAGTCTCTTTTTTTTTTCAGCTTTTGTAGCTCACTGTGATGACATTTCAAATTGACGGCTCTGCTGGTCTTTTCTTTCACTCAGTGAGAAGACGGTCCCTGTTAGATAAATCAGCTTCTTTCACTCAAGACAACCTTCAGCTTTGCTTTCAGGTCATTAGATACTGTTTGGTGGTTTTGTCAAATTAATCTATAACCAGGGGTTCAATATTGCCAGAATGATCTAGAGTAAAATTCTGCTGTCCTCTACGTACAGACACTCTGAAAAAGGGTTAAGCAGTAGTCGTGTTTCAGAGAAAAAAAAAAAGAAGAACCAATCATGTTTCACCAGAAAAAAATATTTCATGTTTTGTAGGAAAATTTAATGCCGAATCATACCTCAGATGAAAAATGAAGGGCCAGTCAGGATTCACAGAAAAAATAAGGACCATTTGTTTCGCACAACAAATTATGGGTCAGTTATGTTTCAAAGGAAGAATTATGGGTCAATCATGTTTCACAGGTAAAATTAAGAGTCAATCATGTTTCACAGCAAAAATTACGTGTCAATCATGTTTCACAGGAAAAATTATGGGTTAATCATGTTTCTCAGGAAAAAGAATGTTTCAGAGCAAAAATTAAGGGCTAATCATGTTTCAGATCAAAAATTAAGGGTCAATCCTGTTTTACTGAAAAATTAATGGCCAGTCATTTTTTACAGGAAAAATTATGTTTCAGGGAAAAATGAAGGGTCAATCATGTTTCAGAGGAAAAATTAAGGGTCAATCATGTTTCAGAGAAAAAATTAAGGGTCAAATATGTTTCAGAGAAAAAATTAGGGCCATTCACGTTTCACAGAAAAAAATATGTTTCAGAGGAAAAATATGGGTCAATTATGTTTCAGAGAAAAAATTAAGAGCCATTCATGTTTCACAAGAAAAATTATTTTTCAGAGGAAAAATTCTGTGTCAATTATGTTTCACAAGAAAAATTAAGGGCCAATCAAGTTTCACAGGAAAAGTTATGTTTCAGAGAACAAATTACGGGTCAATCATATTTCACAGGAAAAAAATAATGGTCAATCATCTGTCAGAGGAAAAATCAAGGACCAGAAATGCTTGAGCTTTGAGATTGCTTTACATTTGGTGGGGTTTAAACCTCCATTACTAAAGAAGCAAACTTTGGACACAAACACACTGGCTGATCGAATATATTCGGGGTAACAGAAGGGGGGGCTATGTAAGGAACACAGGGTTTTGTATAGAAGGTGAAATATCAGCACTGTCATGTTTCAGGCTGCATGGCACTCATGGGTTTGCCTTTTTTCTTCTGTTTAGGAGAGCCATCGCTGTGCTGACCATTCACAGGCTACACTCTCCTGCATAGTCCGGCTCGATTATAGCCCAGAAGGGAGCATATTAGCTGCTTCTTCACATTGATTATAACCCTGTAGAGTGCAATGTGCGCTTCATAAAAGATGAGTGATGGGCGATGATGCGCTGGCCACGGCCAGACACCCTTTAAATTTCTCAAAGGATGAGGGTGGACGCTATAAAAGGTTAATGAAGTGAGTGCAGGGATCTCTGCATGTGTGAAGCCTGTAATAGCACTACTGCATCTGCTGCCTTTCAGCGTGAGACCATTTGATCACAGTGATTTTACTGGTTTTTAAGCCCAATTAAACGTACATTGGATATAAAATGCAGTAATCAGTAATCTGACTTGGAGATTGCAGGTGTGGTTCAGGACACAATATGATACACTCTGAGCTACAAACATGAACAAAACTTCACCCTGTAGCTGAAAGTTGCGGTCATCCACTTTGGACAGGTGTCATGTTGTCATATTCTTTTGATAAATACCTTTTACAAACCAAACATACATGTTTTGAACATAAGCAGCATCCATATGTTTGCGTGACTTGCATGCACATTAAGTGTAACCAATCAGCAGTATCCAGACGCGTGCGGATTAACTGAGTAAAAAAGGTTTTATTATTGCTAAGCAGGCTCGTTGTCAATACACAGGCAGGGATCAAAACCAAAAAGCGGAGTATGATCACAATGGTGATCATACACAACAGGCGAACAAAACCCAAGGGACAAGGCAAAAGACGTGGTCGAAAAACAGGCAGGCATGTTCAAAAAACACAGATCAAAAAGACAGGGCAACGGTACAAAAGGGGCAGGCAAGAGGCAAATCAAAGAACGAAGCAAAGGTTGGATACTCAGAAATATACAGATAGAAAGAAACGCTCAGTAATTTCGCTGGGAAACAATACTTCGCACTGACTCTACCTACAGCCCGTGCTTAAATACTAAGCTAAACAGATCACATGATAAAAGGACAGGTGAAACAGGTTAATACTCAGGAGACTTTGATCGTTGACAGGTGCGTGAAACATTGTCTGAAGTCACGTGATCCTTGAGTGACTTGTGGGTATTGGAGTCTATCTCTGACTCCGACTCGGCATGAAGTCTCTCTGTCACATGATCTCCCAGAGTATTCTGGGAAATGGAGTCCGACTCTCCCTGAGAGGTCGTTACATGCGTGACATTAACAGGAGTTGAGTTTTGGCACAACACCTGTTGTCTAAAGAGATGGACATTGTGCCATTCACCTAAACAGGGAAGATTTTTTCATTTTTATAGCCATTTTATGTCATATTGTGTCCTATACCACACTCACAACTCTGTACCACCTTAATGAAGAGCTGGATGTGCTTAGAGCAAGTATAGTTTTTTAGATGTATTTATAGAAACAATTTGGGTGACTATTGACTTCTACTGTAAGCAATATTAGTCTCACAGCTTTAGCTGAAAAAAACTAAACAAGCAAAATTTGGACACCAAACATGCCTAAATCTGAGATAAGTTGTGAGGAAAATTGTGTACATTGGATTGTTCACTGAACTAATTCTGTGACGTCATGGAAATGAACAAATATGCAGATATCCGTATATATATAAGTAGTGTTTCAGCCTGAACTGCTTGTTGAATGTGGCACAGCCAAACAGAACAGACCTCATTCACATATATGTATTTCAGTTTTTCATCCACATATAATATTTGTGTGCTTTTATGCACCAAAAAGGCCATAATTCATTTTTATCTGATCTCTCTTTATCCCTTAGAATTAAACAGGCTGCATCTTTAAGACTGATATATGTGAATGAGGCACAGCCAATCAAAACAGAGCTCAAGACACAGTCTGATTAATTCTAAGGGATAAACAGAGATCAGGTAAAAATGAATTATGGCTGCTTTCTGGTGCATAATAGCACACAAACATTATATGTGGACAAAAAAAAACAAAATACAAGAAAAATGTAGTCCCATTACGAAGACTGAAACTGGCCATTAACAGCAGATTTTATTTAATTTACACCACTAGTGTTCAATCTGATCCAAAAGTGCTGGAGTGGCTACAGGTTTTCACTCCAAACAACCACAAGTCTAATTTCACTGATTAAATCAGTATATTTTTGATCAGGTGAGCTCCTGCTTGCTTGGAATAAAAACATGCATTCACACTGGGACAACGGGGTGGCCTAATTAGCCCCACTTAGGACCAGATTAATTAAGTAAATTCTTTTTTGTTTGGTGAAATATCGCAATATTAATCACAAAAACATAAAACAGTGTGCATTTTTTCCTAATAAGTGCTCAGCCCGAACAGACGGCCTTGTTTCCAGACACCAGGTACACCAGGTGACTTCTGATTTATAATCTGGGAGCCTTATGCTTCTGATTTGTGCCGTAATCACCAGTTTTTATGATTTCCATCATAAACTCCCACCACCCGCTGAGCCATTTTATTACCGCACATCTCCACATTATGAAAGGCATTATGTATTTCAGCTTAAGAGCCACGTTCACAGCGGCCATTCTTCAAGGTACTGATGTAATGATAAGGCTGAAAGAGCCTTTCTGTAAATGTGATGAGAAAAGAATACAAGAAAAGAGGAAAGGAGAGCACATACTTCCATTACAGAAAAAGACACAAAATGCAGTACACAAACACAAACAGTCTGTCTTATATTCCTTATTTTGAGATGGTTGTGCTCTTAATACAAGATTATCCAGCTTATTTCTAGACAACATTTACTTGTTTTAGGTATTTTTATCAAATAAAATTATCTCACTATACTGGCAGGTAATTTTGCAGGTTTCGAGCACATTTCTTAAAAGAAGCTAAATGATCCTCCAGTACAGTGAGATAATTTTACTCGATAATGTTTGTTAATGGAAATAAATTAAATAATCTTAAATTAAGCTCACAACAATCTCAACAGGAGAAATATTAGATTCATGGAATAGATTTAAGACTTAAACTTGACAAGATACCATTTTTTGCAGTGTAAATTCGTTTGATCTTTTTCAACATGCTTAGCTCAGCAAATAAACAGAAACTGTGCACTAAAATTTTCAGAAAATGCCACATTTAAGTGTGTTCTCAGTGGAGGATGTGTTAACTTATTTTCACTTAGAACATAGTGGTGACCAAGCAAGAGGGTGTTTAAACTTTTGCAAATGACGGTATTTTTGTCCATGTTTTGTCTACCATGCTAACTGGTAGGGTATAAATGTCCAACACCTGTTACCTACATTAGCCTCATAGCTCCAGTGTTTAAACTAACGAAGCAAAACTTCAGAAACCAAACATGTCCCAGCTGATCAACTACAGTCAATGTAATGGGGGGTTATTGGGGGCACACAACTGGGTAAATTTGATTTTCTGCTTAAGTTCCTACGTAACCACTGCTTACTTTTCGTCTCACTAGAGCAAAAAAAAGTGGGCTTTATTATTAAACACTCAGGCATAACCCTTTGCTCTGCTGGACGGAGTTACACTATAGTTGACTAATTAGTGTAGCGTTAGCATCGGCTCCTGAGACAGGAGCACAGCCTCGCTCGCGAAGAGCTTTACTGAACACAGAGCAGCAAAGCA